GGTCTTTTACCTGAAGCTCCAAAAGTTATGTTTTGCGCAAACACTCCCTATACACAAAATGCCACCTAAGAAGAAAGGCGATGGTAAGGGCGGCCCCAAGCCGGGTACGAAACAAGCCAAAGCTGTCGCGGAGAAAGCTGGCGAAGTGAAAAAACAAGTGCCGGAGGAGCCCAAGAAACCATCCGTGAAGGATGTCATTGGCGGCGCATCATGGACAGGGAAGTTACCAGTCAATATGTTGGCAGAGCACTGTCAGAAGCAGAAATGGGAAAAGCCTGAGTACAGCATGGTAATCAAATCTCCCCATGGCACCCGTCACATGTCTGCAAACATATACCAAAACCAGATGCTGATGGATTGCGATAATTGCAGATTAAAACCGCCGACGGCTTTGTGTCATCCGTAACGATGAAGAAGATAGATCCCAAGACCAAGGAATTGATTGTGATCCCACCAATTAAACTCCCTCCCTCCCATAAGCAACTCGCTGGGCAGCCAACAGCCCTCGAAGCGCGCCATTTCGGTGCAGCATTTGCTCTGTTCCGAGTATGCAATATGCGCAATATTCATATGATGATGCCACCAACGTACAAGAAATTGTGGAAGGAGGAATTTGGAGAAATTAAAGCAGCGGAGACTCGGGAAGGCAAGGGCTGGATGTACGAGGCAGATCCATTCTTAGCCAAGCAAGAAAGAGAGAGTGCGGCCGCCGATTTGGCAAAGAAGCGAGCAGATCGTGAGAAAGCGCAAGCAAAAGAGAAGGCCTCAAATGCGGAATTAGGGCTAGGGAATGGAGATGCCAGGAGTAAACGTATCTGGTCGCAAGCACCCAAGGTGGATATGGGCACACGAATCCGACGAGATATTGAAGGCCTTTTGCGGCAACATACAGTTTGGAACCCATATGGCGTGAAGATCTCCGAAAACCAAAAGAAAGCCATTGCGGATGAATTCACCGGTCTAGGGTTCCGTCGCAGCCATGTGGAAGAAGCTACAGCAGAATGCAAAGACCGCGAAGAGGTCTTGGAATGGCTTCTTATCTATGTTCCTGATGATGACCTCCCACGCTGGTCTCTACCGGAAGGATATTCAGCTGGAGTCAGTCTTGGTTCTGGTGATCTCGCTCGTGAGGGTAAAATCAAACGGCTAGCATCTATTGGCTATCCAGCCGACATGTGCTCCCAAATTTTGGACAGCAAGAATGGCGACGAACTGGCGGCTGCTGAGCAATTGCAAGGCACTTTAGTCCATGGAACTCAATTCTCGGCCCCATCAGTGGCCGACGAAGACGAAGAGGCATGGGCAGAAGAGGCGACTACGCTGGAGGCCATCTTCGGAGAACGTTATCACCGCATATCAGCCAAGGTCTGCGAGATCAATAGCGAGGCATCAGACATTCCACCAAACACAATTTTCCGCTTCCAAAAGCCCACCGCTCACTATCCAACCACCCCTCCTGTCATATCAATCCAGGCCAAAGGCGTCCCTGCTTATATACGCCTTAGTGCGATCCGTCGGGCAGTGCAGCATGCCGAGGAAAATTTTACGGGTGAATCTATGATTTTCAATATTATGGATTGGCTGGAGGTCAACCTGCCAAGCATCGTGGAGAATCCTGGTAAATTACGAGAGATTTCTTCCGTGACTGCTTCGTCGGCAGCTGAGACTCACCAAATTCCCGTGCGTTCGGCTCGAAAGAATCGCAGAGGTATTGACTGGAAGGTCGACTCGGAACGAAGCTTGGCGATCCGAGATGCTTGGGAGGCCAAACAAGATACTGCGCCGCAGATCGAGATGACCCGGAAAAGAAAAGCACTTCCTGCATGGAACATCCAACATGAAATTATCCACACCATCAATTCAAACCAAGTGACTATCATCTCGGGTGAGACTGGTAGTGGTAAAAGTACGCAATCCGTACAGTTTGTTCTGGACGACATGATCCAGCGAGGACTGGGCGGCGCTGCCAACATCATCTGCACGCAGCCACGACGAATCTCGGCCCTGGGTCTTGCCGACAGAGTTAGTGATGAGCGATGCGCAGTAGTCGGTGATGAAGTCGGATATGTGATCCGAGGCGAGTCGAAAGCCAAGCCTGGTTCAACAAAGATTACCTTCGTGACTACCGGTGTCTTGCTGCGCCGGATCCAATCGGGTGGCGATGCAGATGGCAACGTTGCAAGCTCCCTCGCAGACGTATCGCACGTGGTGGTCGACGAAGTCCATGAGCGAAGTCTGGATACAGACTTCTTACTGGCGCTGCTGAGGGATGTTCTAAATTACCGCAAGGACCTGAAGGTTATTCTCATGAGTGCCACCCTCGATGCTGGCATCTTTATGAGATATTTTGGCAGTCAGAGATCTGTTGGACTGGTGAACATTCCCGGCCGAACATTCCCTGTCGAAGATTACTACTTGGATGACGTTATTCGGTACACATCATTTGCGCCAGAACTTGCTGAGGAATATGAAGATGAGGAAGAACTCTCTCGGGGCGAAGAAACACTTGGAAAAGCCCTGCGGAGCTTGGGAATGGGAATCAATTACGATCTGATTGCAGCAACCGTTGAATATATCGATGCTCAGCTAGGAAACCAGCCAGGAGGCATCTTGATCTTCCTCCCTGGTACTTTAGAGATTGACAGGTGTCTGAACGCAGTCAAGAGGATTCCAGACATGCATGCTCTGCCATTGCATGCCTCCTTACTCCCAGCCGAACAACGGCGAGTATTCCAGAGCGCACCAAGAGGAAAGAGAAAGGTCATTGCCGCTACAAACGTCGCAGAAACCTCAATCACAATCGAGGATGTTGTTGCCGTCATTGACACCGGTCGAGTCAAGGAAACGAGCTACGACCCCAAGGACAACATGGTCCGCCTCCAAGAAGTATGGGCATCACAGGCCGCCTGCAAACAGCGTCGTGGTCGAGCAGGCCGTGTCCGCGCAGGTATCTGCTATAAGCTATACACTCGCAAAGCCGAATCAAATATGGCCCCACGACCAGACCCAGAAATCCGCCGTGTTCCCCTAGAGCAGCTGTGTCTATCCGTGAAATCCATGAAAGGTATCGAGGACGTCGCCACCTTCTTAGCCAACACCATCACTCCACCAGAAAGCATAGCCGTCGAAGGTGCACTCAACTTCCTGCACCGCGTAGGCGCTCTAGACCACGACAGACTGACAGCCCTGGGCCGCTACCTCTCCATGATTCCCGCAGACCTCCGCTGCGCCAAACTCATGATCTACGGCTCCATCTTCGGCTGCATGGAACCCTGCCTCACAATCGCAGCCATGCTAACAGTCAAAAGCCCCTTCGTCTCACCACGCGAGAAGCGCGACGAAGCAAACGCTGCCAAAGCAAGCTTCTCCCGCCCGGGTGATGGCGACCTCCTCACCGATCTCTCAGCATACCAAGCCTGGTCCGAGCGGACCCGCGCCCAGGGCGGCTACTGGGGCACCCAATCATGGTGTGCCTCCAACTTCCTCTCCCATCAGACGCTCCGCGATATCTCCTCGAACCGCGCGCAGTTCATCACCTCCCTCAAAGACGCCGGCGTCTTGCCAGTCCAGTATTCCGACTCGTTGGCTTCGGCCTGGAACCGCAATGCAGCCAACCGCAACTTGATCCGTGCCCTTGTTGCGGGAGCCTTCCAGCCGCAGGTCGCGCAGATCTCATTTCCAGATAAGAAGTTTGCCAGCTCAGTTACCGGTACCGTCGAGGTGGACCCGGATGCTCGCACTATCAAATACTTCAATCAGGAGAATGGTCGTGTCTTCATTCACCCCAGCTCCATCCTCTTCTCTGCGGCTGGCTACCCCAGTTCCGCGGCGTACCTCAGTTACTTTACCAAGATGGCTACCAGCAAGGTCTTCATCCGCGATCTCACCCGTGAGTTACCTCTCTTCTATCCCTCGAAATATTAACTTCTAACATTGCTTTTTTTTCACAGCTTTCAACGCATACTCCCTCCTTCTCTTCTGCGGCTCTATAGAACTTGACACTGTGGGTCGTGGACTAGTCGTAGACGGCTGGCTCCGTCTACGTGGTTGGGCCCGGATCGGCGTGCTTGTTTCACGGCTTCGTACCATGCTGGATGAGGCTCTCACGGAGCGGTTTGATAATCCTTCGGCTGTATCCGATGGCAGCAGTCTTGGTGATAGAGTGATTGAGGCTGTCAAAAAGTTGATTGAGTTTAATGGACTTGATCAGTGATTTGCATAGGCGTGGTTTCGGGTTGAAAAAATATACAGCGCATATATTATCTGGGATAGGAAGAGAATCGAAATAATTTTCGAAAGACCTCCTTTCCCACGGTTCTAGCTTTATGCCGCGTTATATATCATTTGTTATATTGCGGAAAGGGTGATATGGATATTACTTAAAAAGAAAATAAGCCAGATCAAGAGAATAACCCCCATGAGAATAAATACCACATAGAGACCACTAACATGGATGTGGTAGTCACACATGTACTACAGGTTAAAGTCCGTATGCTTTGTTTATAGGATATGACGTCATATTCGACTATTACTAGTACAGTACAACATACAGGGAGCCAGTCAGGTGACTTGTGTAGATAGGTAGAGAGTGTCGTTTCATCAGAAAAAAAAGGAAAAAAAAAAAAGAAGAAAAGGCACTTAGAACGCCCGGCGAGAAACAGATCATCGTCAACGCCTTCCGATCATTTACTCTCATGTTCGGAAAATGGTGGCGTTAAGTCATCTCGTCGTCAGCCCAGTAGAGCTGGGAAGAAATCAGAAGGAGGAATCAAATGACAGAATGAAGCTGGTGGAAAAGACTGAAAGAACGCGCAAACGCCATGCATAAAAAACCGATTCGCCAGTTCACTCCGATAGAAGAGAAAAAAACGCCCATGTTGACCGAAAGAAAAACGAGAAATAAGTTTAGAGATCGTGGATGGTGATGAGTACCAGCAATCATGAAAATCAGATTTGCATGGTATCTGCAAACCACCGGGGTATTAGTTTGAGGAAAAGAATTAAAAGTTTGCATAGCCGTCCAAGCGATCTGGATCATTGAGATCAGAGGCCTCGGGCAAAACGAAGTCCGTGGCAAGCTCTGCTTCAACAAACAGTGAGGCACGCTTAAAGCGACGATCCGAATACTTTTCAAAGATGGCGGCGTGGTGACGGCGAGGGTTCTCACAGCATTCCATCAAGGTGCTCAGCACCGGAATCAGCTGGGAATACAAGTAACCACTGTAAAGAGCGTGCGCCGGTGTCTATTGCTGATTGTTAGCAGTGTGATAATAGAGTGAATGGAGAGGCGGACATACCCAGTTGCCCTTGTTAAGCAGCATACGGGACAGGCAATGGGCTCCGGCAGCAATAAAGCTGGGGGGAGTGCAGACAAAGCGCTCATCCATAATAGCCAGCTCAAGGAAGTACTTGGCAACAGTACGAGTTTCAAGGTCATATTCATCAGCCTTGCTAATGCGGCGAAGGAAGCTCATAGGGCCAGGCCATCCAAGGTCAAAGTCGAGAATGGTGAGCATGAATCGTTCTGCCTTCAGAATCTCGTCGACAGAATATCCACTGTCAACCATATAAACGATCTCTTGCACAGACGGGGCTGTGATCTCTTCGAACTTTGCAGCGATGAAGATCGCGGTCGCACCAACAAGCTGCAACTTGCCCATAGAAACCACCTTGTACGACAAGAAACGGTCGATGTAGTTGACCGTGAGAAATAGAGTTTCAGGGAGCAAATTGAAGCGCTGGTGAACTTGAACAAGCCAGTCCATCAGAACCGAGCGCATCGACCACTGGAGTTCGCTTTGACGGGCCATGTAGTCTGGGACCGGAAGCATCTCGATCTACAGACCTGGTTAGTTCAAACCGGTTATTAGCCATTGAAGGAGTAAAAACATACCTCTTTCTTCCTTAAATGAAGGAAGATCTCGTCGCCGTACTCCGCAACCATGGTCGTATCCAACAGTTCCTCATCAAGGTCTTCCTGTGTTTGTTCCCTTTCGACAATATCTTTCGCCCGGAACATCTCACGAGTGGTCACGTTAGTCATGTATGGATAAATGACGGTGGTTCCGTCGGTGTTATCCACACGAGACGAGTAGATGGGTGCAACATGGTACTCGGTGTCATCCCCATCCCATTCCTCGGGCTCTGATACCGCTGGCACGGCTTCCTTGACACGTGCGTGCTCTTTGATATCTTCGGTCTCGGATACGGTGGCATCAGACTCCACGAGGCTGGCGATATCCACGTTCAGCGCATGCGAAGGCTCCCCCACAATATCATTCGAGTGGTGTCCTTTCTCTGCTCCCTTGTGGTCAGCCTTGGCCTCCGTATCTGTGTTGGTTTCCTTGGATGGGGCTTTCTCGGGGACAATGTGCAGTTGGTCTTTGTATATGGCGTTGTTTCGCTTCGATCTGTATGCCGGTTGGGCTTTTCCAGCGGGGTTCGTAGGCTTTGTGGTGGCAACGTTTTCAACAAGGCCCCTGGTTCCTGACAAGGTCATGCGGCGCTGGGCTGGCTGGGATAGCCCCGGAGCCTTGATCTCAGCTAGGGCAGGCTTTCCAGTAACGCCCGAGTCATCCCGACCAGCCCGGTTCATGTCCTTGGTGTTGCTAACATCGACAAACGCGCGTCGGCCAGCATTGTTTTGGGCCATCATACTCAGAGCAGGGCTGGACTTGTTCCTTTGATGGATGACCTTATGGTTTTGATGCAGGGATGGCGGGGGCACATTCTCATCCCCAATGGCTCGGAAGCGCTGTGGCTATAATCCTAGTTAGTACCAGGGCATCCAAGGTTAGGGATGAAGCAACTCTAGATCAAGAGCGAGTAAATACATGATGCGATATCGAACGCGCCGTTTTGTTTACGCGCGGTTAACGCGTACAAATCGCAGAATGGGACAAACGAAAGCTGAAGATAAAATCGACTTACCTTTGCATCCATGATTACGGATGATGAAGTTGCAAGACGAGGTGTCGAGTCTATCTTGAAGTTGGTAAAGAGGTGTTGTTTACTTTTTGCTCAGTTGGGGGAGCGGAGTTGCCCTGCGTGATTGGCCGACCCAGGCAAAATAAACAGTCTTTTAGACCCGCTCAGTTGTTCTTTCCCGATGTATCCCAGCTCGTCACTTAACCTCACTTGAACGCTCGTTGCCTAGGCGGAAAAGTAATCCCAGAGGACTGAGTGAATAAAAATGAATGAATGAGTACCGAAGTGACACCACGACGAAGGGAGGTTGTGTTGGTCCCTTGTTGTTGACAATGTACGCTATTCCTCAATAGGAAGCTACGGTCACGCACGCCTTCCTATTGTGCAAAGTGCTACTGCCCTATGTTGTATGTTGCCTGCCTCATCTTATGCTGCCTATGTATGTTGTAGGTAGGCTCAAATTGTATAGAATTTAATTCACACTGTATAAAGGGAGGAAGATCTGGATTTGGAGTAGGTCTATCAATCCAGGTAGATCTGTAAGACAAAAGATGACACTTCTAAGTAGCTTCGAGCTTTCTCCAGTTCTATGGCTTTGATTTTATGTCTTATTTTCTTGTAGGGTATGTCATTAACGCTTTCCAAACATACGTCACTTTTCAAATGATATCTACCCAAGGTTCCAACATGGAAGGTTGGAACTTCCCGAGGTCGGGACTCGGGTAGTTGATACATGGTTAAATGTTTGTTCTGTTTGTATATAGTTTACACTGTTTGCTGTGTATTTGACGTCATTAACCTTATCGGCGCGTCTCCTTCGACGTCCATTGAACACCACTTTTGATTAATAAACACCCCAGACTAGATAAAAGAGTATAAAAAATTATCTACCACTATATTCACCAGTATTAAATAACTTCCGGCAATAATATCCCAAAAAGATCTATGTTTGCAAGTTCAATCGCCCTTTTATGGCATGATCTAGATCTGACGCGGTATCTACACGAGACCACGTGAGAGCCACACCGCCGTCACAAGAGGTGGGACACCCGGAATCAAGCGGTTCCTGTTTGGCAGCTTTGTGATCAACCGAAACCCACTCCTATCATTGCGAACGGTCTTCGGCTTTTTCTGTCTCGCCAGGTGATGCGGGGCTTCAGAACAGAAGAAATGGGCAGTTTCGGAGTAAATTAGTGTTGTAGACCTTGCCCACGTTCTCGGATCCGATGATCGTCAATTCATATCCAAAGGACCTTTTGCGCCCAGTCTCTCAGCATCACCGCCTGACTCCACCAAGCAGAAATGTTCCCCCCTTTCCATCGGCTATTTTATTAAGAAATCAATAAAACTGTGGAAACACGGATTTGTTATATTCCGATCTCCCATTTGTAGCCAGGTTCCAAGGAGCAAGGAATGCTCTGCAACGCCAATGCGGTATTCCCTTTTTAACCTTCTTACGTAGGTCCGAGGAGGGGTAAATCCAAGTTGCAGATCATGCGAGACAACTCCGTAGAGTCGTGCGATATTATGAAAGGGGTTATTTCGGGAATTGAAAACGGTTTGGTTCTTTCGGTGGTATCTTTTTCGGTTGAGTATAAATATCCAAGTTCGGTCCTAGAGGCGGATCAACAAAACGTCTATCAATCACCCTACCCTAGCGATTTTGATATTAACCCATACCACAGGTGTCGCGGTATATAGTATTTTCCAATCCGCATAGTAGATGAGCAATGCGACAAGGGTGGTGGTGGGAAAATGACTGGACAATGTCAATTCTGTCCAAGCGCACACCTCCACAACAGACCGAAAAAAGGGTATGGGTTGCTACGTGGTCAAGCTAGAAAACTAGCTGCAAGCCCATAAATATATTGGGCGTTATTTCTTTATCCCATTTTGCGCCCTTGGTCCTCGATACCCTAGATACTTGTAGCGACAGAGGTACCTAAAAGCTACCTGCTTTGTGTGAAGCGCTGCATCCTCCAACCCCCAACGGTCTTAGGTAGCCCACACTCGCTTACACTCATCCCTAAAAGATTCAAAGATCGGATTATATTCTCAATTTCGTACATAATATGCAAGAAGGAGGGTTAGACAAAGTACTCCGTCACTCGGCGCAATGGCAGCCATCTTGCGACAGCTTTTTGCGCCTTTGCGAAAAGATACAGCATTAAGACGGTTTCACGCATAGTTATTTTTTTCGATGCATAGAATAGTTCCAAATCAAATGAAGGTTTTATATAGATTCATTAATGCCATGGAATGTGATGGCTGCTGCGATGGGCGCCGGAAGCGCAAATCGCCATGTCACCGACCCAGGTAGGCCGTTTTCTCGCTTTAGGTGAAACCATCGTACGCACCCACCTCAACCTTCTTCCTTCCATCCAACAACCCCTCGAACAAATCGCCATCGGCGCTGTCAATAGTATTGAGTATGTATCTCTACTCTTGTTCGATCTCACTTTTTACTCCCCTGACCCCGTTTCAATCCTGGAGATGCCACCGCTGACATAGCCTCAACACTTCGTAGAATCGACAATCCCCTCTCGACCTCGACCGAACCCATCCTTCGGCCCTTCGCCCTGTCTTGGACAATCCAAATATCTGCGATACTGGAGGACTTTGTTTGAGTTGAATTAGGTGTGTTCAAGTCTCTCCATTCTTTTCCGGGTCATCTCGCTTGCTTCCCCCCAAGCCCGCTCCCAAGGTCGGCCGGACTCGGTTAGCGACACATTCATCCATCATCTTCCAAGACAAACCCCATCCTTATTCTATATTCTAGCACTTGGAATCCCATTGTGTTAACTTCTGTGGTCCTTTCTCCTTCAGATTACCCACGTTTACCCTTTTGAGTCGCTTCCGGCTCTTGCGACTGCAGATTCCCCTCCCACCTCCATCGAAGGTTTTGCTTCGACAGTTTCTATACACCAAGACCCGGGGGTGGTCCATCCACCAGCCTGATTTTCCGAATTCAACAATTGTGGTAGGTTTGATGGATTCTTCCCTCTACACCTGCCCTTCCTCTGTGTCTTGCCATGGATCACATTCCCGCCCTCTACGGCACACAAGCAGTGGGTTGATGCAGTCTTTGGTATAGCAGTGGAGTATTCCTCAATTTGGAACACTTTAATATGCAAGCGGTTCAGCACGAAGGGCTCTCTGGCCTGGTCGAGCAGGCGGGTCTGGCAGACTCTGCCACTGTAGGTCGAGACCTGTCGCTTAAAGGCCCAGCACCCAAGAACATCGCCTTTGAGTTGCTTCTCGATGAGAACTCCAAAGTCCGAGCTCGTATTCCGATGCGCGTGCAAATCTATCCTCATGATACCACGGATTCGATCGTCACAACGGTCAAAAATTTCTATGGAATATATGACGGTACTGCCAGCGGGGTCAGCTTCGAGGATGAACATGGGACCACCCTCATCGCAAGGTACGAGAATCTCAAGAACAATAGGACTGTATATGTGCGAGTCATTCCCATTCAACCATATGGGGATCACTTCTATAACGGTTTCAACGTCGAGCCTCGCAAGCGGCCTAGTCTGGCAGAGCCTTTCCAGATGCTAGATGGAACAGCGCCAGTGTTGGATCAACCATCACGGCCAGCCTCTCGGCTTGCGAGGAAGCGCAGCATCTCTCCATCAGACCGGAGTCTTCGCAGCGCTTCTCAGCACAAGCCTCCCTCCCGCGCGGGCAACAAAAGCCGGGCCTCGAGCATCCATGGAGGTTTCCATGATGATGATGACTATAGCGATACCGAGAGCGCCTATGCTCGCCGGGCTCGCAACGAGCTCTTTGCTAGCTCTGATATTAGCATGGAGAATATACTGCAAGATGGTCGTCGGAAACGACCCAAGTTCGATAGCTCTGTGAGTGATTCATGCGAGGAGACTTTTCTTTTATTAAAGGCTTGTCACTAATCAGTCTATTCCTATTAGGAGCTTCCCCTGTTCGTTCCTCCCCAAGTGCCCCTTACTACCTCCACCTCCTCTATCTCTCCCCAACGTCGATCGATTGGTCAGGAAGGCACTGGGTCGCCTTTCGCACGCCCACCGCAACGCCCGTATAGCTATCAGCATGCGCTTCCATCGCCGCAAAGCTATGGTCACAGCGAATATGGTGTGCACTCGGGGCGCAATACGATTTATGCGACTCCCGTGGTTCCGGACCATGGAAATCGCATGCGTGACACGGGAGGCTATAACAACTCGGCTAGCCGAGTGAGTGGTTCAGGTGTATTGCCTACACCTGACCCCACTATTGCAAGCTGCATCTCCGATGAGGATGTGGCGATGCAATTGATACGTTTGGGCGATGCGTCCAATTTTTCTCATGGACGCACCTCTGCCTCGACATTGGACGATGCCTTCAGCGGTGCCGCCGATGCTGCCTCTTCCACCGGTGCTACCAGCGATGGGGAAGACTTTAGCGAGGACGAGGATGATTTGCCAGCTCGTCGCCAGAGGTTGGACTCAAGCCCAATGCTGCCACCGGGAACCATCAAGCGCCACCTCAAGGGCTTGGATGACATCCTTCCCAGCGCCGATAGCAGCGACCACAGCTCGGATGGTGCAGATGATGGTATCAAAAGTGAAGCTGAGGAGGATATCCTTTACAAGGAGTTTGCACCCAAGGCAAAGAAGTCGAAGAGCCGCCCTACATCTTTCAAGGTTCGCAGCCAGAAGCCTGCGCCTGCGAAGCTGAACAAAAGCAAGATTGCTATGCCTGCTCCTCGTAAATCATCCGAGAAGTCAGCTGCGCCTGTTCCGCCTCTCAGCCCGGCTTCTTCCCGAAAGGTGTCAGGGGGCTCGGTCAACTTCCAGCACCAGCTCGGTGCGGATGAGGAAGACCTCTCTACCAAGCCTCGCTGCCAGCGGTGCCGCAAGAGCAAGAAGGGCTGTGACCGTCAGCGCCCCTGTGGACGTTGCAAGGATGCAGGAATTGGAATTGACGGATGTCTTAGTGAGGATGAGGGCAATGGTCGCAAAGGGCGTTACGGTCGCCATATGGGTGTCCCCGTAAAGAAGAACGGGGAAGAGATGGATGAAGACGAGGGGGAGGAGTTTTCATTAACGCCTGCGACCCCTCCTATCTCTTCGTCTATAGCAGACAAGAATAAGAAGCGGAAGCGCTAGTGGGGCTGCAGGTTGCGTCTCGCGATCTCTAAACGCCAATCTATTTCGCACCTCTGGTCTTCTTCGTGACCATGGGATCTCTCATTTATCTTACCATCCTCACTATGGGCCAAACTCATCTGCCCTCCCTCTCTCTCCTTTCGCCATCTTCTGGCCAGCGCCAGAGACAGTCCTTATACTAGCATACTACCATCATTTGCCCTTCTCACTCCACATTCCCTTCTCTGGTTACAAGCCATGCTCCCTCCATTACACACTGCCAAGCGGTTGATCTTTTGTTGTGTCCCTTCGGCGTCTTAGTGTTTCTGCGGGCTATATGCTTCTTGTCATATCACTCGCTCATTCGGAATCAATGCTACTGGGTTATCTATCATTGTCTATGTCGGTTTCATGTGTGTGGCGTACGGTTGACTAGTAGCGGAAGTATTATATATTTCCGAGGGCTAAGTCAAAGCGTGACAAGTTGTAGAAGATTGGCCAATCTTGCTTTATTTCGTCTTCTGGGTAGTCAGGGAGTCAATGCAAGGCTTTCAATATCTTTGTATAATTCAATCTTGCAATGTTCCATATAATCGAATCATTGTAGTCTACATAGGCGAAGAGTACAATGTCGATCAGCGATCGACATCCGGTGGGATAAGTCACATGACAAGGGCGGTGTGATTGGCCCCGCAACTTTTTTGAAGAGCTCGACTTTCTCGGACTTCAAAACGCTCGCATTTCTTTTAGAAACGACACTTTGCTTATTTGCAGTCGCATTGTTATATGTTACCGGGAGCAGAACCCAGTGATCCGAACGCTGAGTCTGCATGTAACGCGGTGCGCAAACCGGCTCCTCTACACGATCTTTTCTCCAACCGCCCAGCAAGCCGCATTCAGCGCCTTGTCTGAAAAGCAACGACAATGCCTCCCAAAGCCGCCCCTCGTGCAAGCGCCCGTGGAGGGGCCGCCAATCGCGGTGCCCGATCTGACACAACTACTCCCACTCCCGCTGGCGGGGGCAGCACTGCGCAAAATGCTCCCACGGCAACCGGCGCGCCCGGTCCTGCGAGTCGAGCTTCAGTGCAACGGCTCCAATCACTGAACAAACGCACACCTTCCGGCAGTATCGCGCCCAGTAGTCGACCGCCGTCGGCGCTTGGTGGCGAGTCGCCCAAACCAATCCTGAAACACAAACCGAAGGCCGTTGGACGTCGCAGTAAGCAGGAGCGGGATGAGATCGAGAGACTCGAAAAAGAACGATACAATGAGCGTCTGAAGGAGGCTGCCGCTATTCAGCGTGGCCGTGGTGGTACTGCTCGTCGTGGTGGGTTCCGTGGCCGTGGTGGACCAATGGCTATGGGCATGAGTGGATTTGGTGGACGAGGCGGCAAGCGAGGCCGTGGTGGTTATGGCGGTGGAGGCGGAGGTGGTGGATATGGAGGAGGTTCAGGCGTTGCAGGTTCTGGATACAATCGGTCTGGTCTCACTGGGGGCAACCGTGGGCGCGCATACGACTCTTCAGACGACGAAGAGAATGCACTCCGTGTCAGCATCGATCATATCAACCTCGATAGCGACGAGGAGGACTGGGATACTCCGAAGGATTTCAAGGGCAAACAACCCAGCAGGTCGAGCGGCGAACGTGGACTTCGTCCTGTCCGTGTTGAGCGACATGAACACGAGGAAAGAGTTATCAGTGTCAACATGGAATCCAGCACAAGCAGAACCGCTGATCTCCGTAAAAAGGCAGAGAAGGAGAAAGCTGTGAAGGATGTCGGCCGTACACCTACTAAGGTTAAACCCGAACCTCAAGACGACGACATGACTATGCCGGATGCTATTCCACACGCAGATGACGACGACTTCCTCCCGGAGCATAACGTTCGTGTGCGCTCAGCTCAGAGTATGAGCCCAACAAAGAGGAGCACAACAGAACTGCGGTCGACTCAACCCACGCCTGAGCCCGAGATTCCAGACCCACGCAGCCTACTTCACACCAAGGAGGAAATTGACGAATATGACCGACACATGGAGGATTTGGCTATCATTAGGGATCTTCTTGTTCCTAAGGAGTCAAAGAAGGCCACTACAGGAGCAGAAACCACCGAAGGAGCTGCCGAAGATAAACCCGCCGCAGTGGAAGGACAGGAAGGCGACCAAGCGAGCGAAGAGAAGGAAGAAGAGCAGGAAGAAGACAACCCTCTGCATGGCCAAATGTTCCTCATGCAATTCCCACCGATGACCCCATACCTCAGAGTCGCCGGTTCTGCCCAAGACAACCAACCCCAAGCTGCAGCCGCAGCCACAACTGCACCTCCCCACAATGAGATCAAGCGCGAAGCAGACGATGACGTGGAGATTGTTGATAACACCCAACCAACCGAATTAAAAGAAAATAGCGTCATCACAGCCGGCCAACCATGGTCTCTGCCCACAGGCCGTGTCGGCAAATTGAACGTGCATCAGTCAGGCCGTGTGACCCTAGACTGGGGTGGAATCAGTATGGAATTGGATCGTGGAGCACCGGTTGGTTTCGTTCAGGAAGCCGTCATCTTGTCAAAGGTACCACCTGAGCCGGAGGAAGGTACGCCAAAACATGTTTGGTCTATGGGCCAATTGTCTGGCAAGTTCACAGTCACACCGAACTGGGATGAGATGCTTTGAGTCCTATATTCAAGAGAGCTTACGATGAATGGAAAGAAATCCAAGCGAACTTATTGCAGCAATCCTCTCGGTTTTGGATTAACTTTGCAATCACTAAAACTACATGTAGTTAGACCGGAGTGATAGAATTATATAGTCCTGGAAGCTTTCTGATCGAGCATGTAGTCAGTTGACCCTTTTTGTTTGTGCAGGAATTCATTACAGATGGCTGCTCATTCTCTCTCCTCTTATTTCTCTCTTTAATATCTCTTTAATAGTGAATGCATTGCAAGTTCTATTTCTTGCTTTCCAATGGCCGCCCCACCACGGCAGTTATCAAGCTTAGTAATTTTTTATATAGGCCCGGCAATTAAGGCACCAAAATGCCAAGACTTATCAGCCCTGGCCAAGCTACGAACTTTGATTGCGCGTGTCGAATTCAGAGCATTTGATCACCATTCCATCCTCCATGCCCAAGAGCAATTATGGTCGAGCACAAGCCATAAGCTGGCCCAATTCAACTGCGCGCCTTCCATCTACAATGCCTGCATAGACCAAATCGAGTGTCTCCGGTGCTACACGAACCTTCGCCATGTCGTTGCGTCCTCTTGGATATCAATGCAACCTATCCTATGCGCAATTCTTCCGCAATAAACCGCAAATAAGACATACCATAACACAACACCTGAGGTCCTTTTCTCGGTCACGCGACACCCATTACACACATCGCTGGTCTGCGGCAAGTCTACACTATGCCAACAAAGCTTCGTTTTCGCTACGGGGGTTACTCGGTGATCTTTTGAGACCTGCACGCACTCTCCATGACCATGGCAAGGGTCTATGGACTCAACAATGCCGTCATGAGACTTCTGCTGTTAAAGAACCAGAGCTCTGCGAGCACTGCGGTGCAAAAACCGTCCCCAAGGCTAGAAGACACGTCGAACCTGGCAACCATTCCAGCGGCTGGCACTGCAAAGCGTGTATTCGGAACATCCGTGCACATGGTCATCTGCCAAACGTGGAGCAGCTTAAAGCGATTAATCGGCGAAAACTGGTCAGGGCAAGCGGCGAGGCAAGCAAGACAAGTCCATGCAGGCACTGCGGCGTGATTACTGCTCCGAGAAGTAGCCGAAAATTCATTGACGCGAATAACCCTTCGGCTGGGTTTCACTGCCGGACATGCGTTCGGCATTTCAATCATCACGGCAGGCTCCCAACCGAGCTAGATCTCGCAGCGTTCCAGTACCGCAAAAACATACGGAGTAGGGGTTCTAATACTGCCTCGAAAAGCAATGTATCGCACGTTCGAAAGGAACAACCCACGCCTCATCACCCTTCCAGTTCCCCCAGTGATCCCAAGTCTCCCAAGCAGATGAAACAGAGCCGCGATGAATACCCCTGCATGCACTGCGGCGACAAAACCATATCCAGCAGCAAACGCAGGCTCGTTGAGCCCCAGAATCCTGCGGCAGGTTACTACTGCCAGCCATGCACGCGGTCCCTACTTGAAACAGACTCATTGCCAAGCGCCGTCAAAATTGCAGCGCTCAAAAAGCTCAGAGCGACCCGCATGCAAAGCAATCCCCGGGTCTTGAAAAGCCCATGTGTCCACTGTGGTGAGATCACCGCCCCCAGCAGTAAGCGCCGACTCGTTGAGTCGAAGGACCCCCAATCTGGGTACTACTGCCGCGCCTGTGCGGATTGTTTAAAGCAAACTGATTCCTTACCCAGCGATATTCGCCTTGCGGTTCGCAGATCGCGAGAGCAGGTCCGGCTGAAAAACCTTCAGGCCAGTCAGTTTAAAGAGTCGCAGTCCCCGGTCTCTCTGCAGGACGGAGAAGCTACACTAACAGATACGCCTACGCACAATACTGCAAATACTTGCACGCACTGCAAAACCGAAGAACACATTTCGGGCCCCTGAACCTGGGCATTTTGATCCCAATGGCTCGTTTTTGGGGCCAGGGGCATTTTTGCGCTGGGACGGCATGAACAAAAGCCCGGTTGCGCATTAGAGTGGATATCAAGGCTGGTCGACTGGATTGCTACCAGTGCAAGGCACCGCGTGCTCGGGACTCTACCCATTGGAAAAATCGACGGTTTAATATCCTTGATCTTGTCGATGCCAAGGGCAAGGGCTCAGAATATCTTGATTTTGGTATCGCCTATATATGTTGTATGCGCGTCGTCATCTTACCTGCCGGGGGGGCGGGGGGCAGTCCTCGTCTATTCGCTCAAATTTCGCGTCTGCGTTGGCGATCATTTGTGGCGTTGTCCGTTAAGCCTCGGGATGTCTTAGAGCTATAATTAGAACTTAAAATGGAATGTGATTTAATTGTATTTAAAGTATGAACTATGGTATATGTGCATACTATACAGAGTATGAAAAATATTGAATCACCCTAACAGCACCTCGTATAAAGAATATTAAAACATAAATAAACACTGGATAACCTCAAATTGGGAAATCTCGGTAGCCAATCAGAACCTACAGGATTCAGGGACAGGTCCCCCCACCCATGGACGGCAGGGACTTAGAGCCAAAGGAACTCAAAGAGCGGCTCGGCCAATCAAGCCCTCGCCTTGGCTGGCTTCATCTTAGTTTTCCCTTAATCTCCCTCTTTCCCCCCTGGGTTGTTTCGTTTTTTTGGGGGGGCTTTTTTCCTTCTTCTTTTTCTCTTTCAATCCTACTCTACGACTAAGAGTGAGTTGGATTCTGGCAATCGAGAGAGAAAAGGCGAAACACCGGAAACTCCCACCTGTCTTTAGCCCCCTATTCCCCCCGTTGCCTGACTGCGACAATCCAACACAGCAACCCACTCGAACTTAAGTGGCATACTCTGAGACACCCTCACAACTTATATTCGTGAAGAGATTCAGAGCAATATTGTCACTCCCAACCTCTTCTCCACCTCCATCAGCAGCACTGTTGCCTTGCCAACTCCAGCCCCCCGTCCCCCACGACCCGCACCAACCACCTTGGCGTTGCTTGTTCCTCAATAGGCAACAACGCAAAGCATTTGCGCGCCAGTCCATTCCCATACTATACAATACTATACACCTATAATCTCCTCACAATGAAACCCTCCACCTTCCTGGCCTTCCTCGCCCCGGCCGCCGTCCTCGCCGACTCACAAGAACCCGCCGGGGGCGCCAGCCTCTCCTCAGACTTCGCACACAACTCACCCGCCATCTCATTACCAGAACTCGCTCCGCGGGAACAGTTCGCTCCGTTCGCGGATCGCGATCTGCCGTCTGATGAGATGCGCTTGCTCGCTGCTCGCTATGTCCTTCAGGCGCGCAGTGAGGGTTCCCTCGGTCAGACCCCGTGGATTGGCATGGCTATCGGGTTGACCTTTACCGCTCTGGCGGCTGTGATGCTCGGGTGATTGTTGATATGCATTGCTTCGAAACGAAGCCCCAGTTTGAGATTCTTTCGACTTCCGACTCTCGATACATAAACCTTTTTCTCCCCGCCTCGACCTACTTCTTTTTCTCTACGACACGTGAAACGCCGGGCACCGCTCGAACTTTGTTCATCTTTTACTCCGCCTGACATACTTCTGCGACCATTCTTCTTCATTTTCTTACGTTCTTTTGCAGCGGACTTTTACCCATTTTGTTTATTTTTGCATCCATGGCCTTGTGTTCTGGCGTGGGATCGGATATTTGAGCTCCCCATTTTTTCTATTGCATTCCCCGACATGCTGGTGTACTATATGTACTGGGTACTGTCGGGTGTATAAAGTTGCATGTTGTATGCATGTTGTACATGATACCTTTTTGTTTCTGCAGATTCTCCCGTGTGTACGGAGTACATGAGATTTACTTAATTAGTATATATAGATATGGCCAATACGAACCAACTATACGCTTACTTTTATTGCTTTTCTTTCAGACTTGACTTTTGTTAATCTGCGCCTCTTTCATGATGGGACTCTCAGGGATGACTTTCTTTGTTACTCGAGAATCAGAGTTTCCCCCTCAAAGAATGTTTTGATCTTCTTCATTCTCACTGTGTCTATTGGTTCAGCATTTGAACAGACACCCCCTTTTTTCCTCTTTTCATTTGATTGCATGTGAGCAAATAACCCCTCAAGAAAAAGGCAGAGAGGCCTCGGGAGCTCTCAGATTGCTACGTTGCACTCCACATTGACATCTTTGTCGGTTTCTTCTTGTCAAGCTCCATTTTCGAAATACTATTAGAAAGAGAGATCTTTCCTGTTCATAGCAGTAGACATATACCCTCGCTACATTCGACTCCAAATATTACTATACTACAGATCCCTCGCCATGGCTTCAAACGAATATCCACCCTACGCACCGATGCCCTCGCTCCGCCACGAGCTAGGGCTAATGTTCGGCTTCTTGTCTCTCTGCATAGTGGTTATAGGTGCATACGTTGCTCTCTGGCGTGGTGTGTTATTCTCCTACTCCCCTCATCGCATCTCTATATCAATACAAAGATCTACAAGTCTGTCTATGAGTTCATATCAAACACACACTTACACCTTGAATCCCATTTCAACACAAAACCAATCATGATCAAACCTACATTATTCCCCTAACAACCAACCCCAGTATACCAAACCCGCCTTGACGCCCAAGACCTCGCCCGCCGCAAATCCTTCCGCAGCAAAAGCCCAACCAAACCACCCCTGGGAACAACAACCTCTGTAACAGTAGGCCGAAGCCCAAGTCCCAGCAATGACACAACCAAAGCAGGTGTGCAAGAAAAAAATGTTCGACCGCATTGGCATGCCCGAGAACCGCGCCGAGCTGCCAGTACATGGGATGGAGATGTACGCAGCTAGGAAGGGGTGTATGATCACATCGCACATCAGGTATCCGTTCAATCGGTCTACGCCGATGAGCCCTGCTGTCCTTGTTAGTCCGCTTAGGAGTGGCGGGGCTGGGTCTAAAGCTGTCGGTTCTTGTATTGTCGGGATGGCGCTAAGGGGAGGAAGGAGTCTGAATCAGAGTCCTTTGCGTGTTGATGGGTTTCGGTCAGCGAGTCCAGCGAGGAGGTTTGGGGGTGGTATTGGCCCGCCCGTTGAGATCGGACCTGCGCCTAGTCGAGAGTAGAGTTGGCTTATGATGCTATAAGTTATGTTGTATGGAATGAAGGGCAAGGACGGAATTATGGCATTGGGTTGGCGTTGGCGCTTTGGGGTAATTTTGATATTGTCTATCGGATTGTTCATGTCGATCGGATATTCCGGTCTTTCTCATATAGTTGCCATTTTGAATGCTTTTGGCTATATTATCCATTATATCATACACCACCAGCTATCCACATACAGGCTCAGCAAACCCACGGGTCCACAATAACGAGCCCATGATTACAACTAAAAACCCAAGCGCGACAAGCACACTAGCACTTCCATACAAATACGCATGGCGCCGGTGAGCCAGTCCCTTCAACTCAAGAACCCAAGTACTGATCGTTGTCGTGCTTCCGCAGAATCCATCCATAACACCCTGCAGCACCTGGCAACCCGTCATAGCAGCAGGAACCACCGCTCCAAGACCACTAACATGCTGCAAGTCATAGCAAAGACCCTCAATTATAGTCCCAAAGATATTAACAGCAAACGTGCCGAGCGGGAAGGTCGGAATCCTACTATTCAGATGCAGCGAGGCATAGAACCGAAGAAGACAGCCAAGCGGCGCAAAGACAAGAGCGAATACCGCCCGGCCGCGCCACACATCCGGGCCATTATGGCGGTCTGGCGGCCAGATGGCCAGGAACACAGCTCCGAGCCAACATCCCCAGGCAAGCACGACGACAACACGGTCGAGAACACGCCGTGTGAACGCAAAGGGGACGGCGGGCGTTACGCGTGCTAGAGCCAGGGCAAGATGCGCGCCGGCGATAAGCGCCGACAAGCTCAGTGACACGGTAAGTAGAATCACAGCGACCAACGCCATGAAGCTATACCCACCATTACGGGAGGCGTGGTGGGATCCAGTAGGCAGCGACGGATTGGGGAGTGCATTTGCCAGAGCGAGGAAGACGTCCCGCATAAAGGACGAGAAGGAGGTGAAGCAACCGCAGAACCCGGTCGTCAGACCAATATACAGTGGGATGGTCTTCTTCGCAGCCAAGTGTTTCTTATTCTTGGTCTTGGAGTCGTCTTCGACTTCGTCTGTACCTGGTTCTTTGGTTGGTTTTTTACCCCACTCTTCGCGGAACAACTTCTGGTCTTCGCTCAGGAAGCCCATTATCAGGCTTCCGCCTACATTCGCCCATAGCACCCCTGTTACGACGGGGGCACCTGTGTAGAATGTCAGTGCCTGTAAGCCTAAGCGAGCTAAGGTGCCCAGGAGCGAGAAGAAAATTAAATAGGAGACGGTATAGATATGTGTCGCGTGTTTGGAGAGTGGCGACGCAGCAGATGCGGGTGGTGCAGGCGCTGCGTGGTCACCCGAGCTTGGACATTGTTCATTTGGATTTGCTTGTTGGGACTCTCTTAAAGGGTAACTGTGTTTTGAGGGATTGTCTTCGGTAGTTGCAAGCATTGCCGTTCAAGGGTTAAAAGGGGAGGATAGGAGGATAAAGGAAAAGTCTGCCAAGAAATGGGAGATCAGGTGGAGTCCGATAAGGTTAGCGCTCAGTTGTATATGAGGGGAAGATAACGAGCGGGTTGCTTTGCTTTGCTCCTCCTCCTCCTCTTCTTCTTCTTCCTCTTCGTCTTCTCTCTCCTATCTTCTCCTCTTCATAACATCCTCTATACTTCAACATGTCTCTCCCATCAAATGTCCACGTCTCCTCTCACCCCTGTCTCCAAGCCAAGCTCTCCCTAATCCGCTCATCTTCCACTACCCCACGCGAGACAAGAGGCTTGGTTCATGATCTTGCCAACATCCTAGGCGTGGAAGCCTTCTCGGGGTTGAAGGTAGTCAAAACAGGAACGGTAAATAGATCCCCAAGACCGAGCATCCATCAAACACTAGCATTAGATCCCCTAACACTCATTCCCAGGACACCACCCCCCTCGGAATCGAGTATGAAACCCAAGGCATTGACCCAGCAGACCTAGCTTTAGTGCCAATCCTCCGGTCTGGTCTAGGAATGGTTGATGGTGAGTGATTCAATCTATTCCGCACAACCCCCTCAAGCCATACACTGCAACTGTAACCCATATTATTTCCTGCGATGTTACCCTATTACTCTTATATTTCCTAATTCACTTTCCCACATCCAATCCAAAACACCCTACAATCCTATTTGCATGTACAGCTTATCTCCTTCTATCAACATCCCCCCCACCCCCCCATTCCTTAGCCTTATCCCAAAACCCCGCTTACACAACCCCAGCCTTAAACGACCTCCTCCCAACCCCAGTCCCAGTCTACCACCTGGGCCTGTTCCGCGAAAAGGTCTCTCTCCAACCCGTAGAATATTACAACAACCTCCCCTTCCACCGGTCGGAGCTGTCGCCAGCCTCTCCAGCCTCCCTGAACCCAACTACCAACACCGCAGCTGCAAGCCTGGCTGTGTTGGTGGACCCAGTTATCGCTACTGGTGCAACGGCCGAGGCAGCGATCCAATTGCTCCGTGATTGGGGTGTGAAGAAGGTTATTATGCTTAGCTTGCTTGCTTCGGAAGAGGGGGTCAAGCGTGCTGCGGGGACTTGGAGTGAGGTTGAGGTTTGGGTTGGTGGTATTGATAAGGGTGTTGATGAGAAGGGCATGATTGTCCCTGGCATTGGAGATATTGGTGATCGGTTGTTTGTTGCTATTGGGAAGTAGTTTCTGGCATTACTATCGGCATTGAAGCATGGCTGTTTCGGGTTTAGATACTAGATGGTTATGTACCCATCAACTACAACTCCAGACTGGCAATAAATAACCAAGGCTACAAATTACAATCCAAGTCTACGACCTAGTGCCTATTGTCCAAGAAAAGAGGTTGTCCCCGCCAGATAATTCATCGATAACGTATAGTACATGGAAACGGCATAAAAGCATGTGCAGGTGAAACAAATGCAAAAATTTTCAAAACAATGCTGAGCGTAAAAAGCATAAAAAGCAAAAGACGGGGTAGAAAAGCGCGCAGGCAATTAACGTCAAATACAGCAGTTGGAAACCAACCAAAGAAGCAGAGGCAAATGGCAAAATATGAAAAAAAAAAAGAAAACGCGAACGCATGAAATGTCAAAAGGTATCGAAAGCATAAAAAGCAGATGGACGAGGGGGCACGATTAGGGGTTAGTATGAACCATAAAGTCAAACTCCACGGAGTGCGAAAGTACACACAGGACCAGCCAGGTGTCGAAGACGGAAAGCAGAAACACCACACTGGACTCCCTGGTGCAAGAAAAAGCAGGGAAGATGCAAAAAGAAATAGCGAAAAAAAAAGCAAAAGACTAGGAACCACCGAGAGGCATATCAAAAGGCGAAGTATTCCAGAAAAGCCCAACACCCCGCCTGCCCACTGGTATGTCCAGTCCTAGTTCCGAAGTGTCCCAATGAAAGCGTCCAACAAATGAGAGTAAGAAATCGAAAAAAAAAAATAAAAAATTCAAGAAAAGGCAAAGAAAAAGGCAAATCAACTCAAAGAGATTGATGAAAAATTTAGTATGCAGTGCCGACGCTAGCAAGCGACTTGGTTGGCACCGCATGGATCGGCTGATCCTTGGCAACACGGAGAGAATCTTCGTAGCCGACCAGGGCCTGGGAGTGGAGCTTGAATGATTCGCCCATCAACTTGGTGATTCTGTAAAGCGGTTAGTTATTTGGTCATCAAAGTGAGCAGAAATTAAAAACTTACCCCCAGACAACCACGCCGTCTAGGATGTTACCCCATACACGGGCGACGGTAGAGCTGAGTTTTCCAAAGGCGTCGATGGCATCGTCGTCAAACAGATTGCGGACTTTGTTGTAGAGGGCCAGTTCAGCCTCAGTTGCCGGCTCATCGTCATGTTCCAGGCGGTAGAGCCAGAGGCTCAGAATGACCATCAGATCCAGGCCGCAGAGAGGGTGCTCAACACTCCAGTTGGTGGCGGAAGTCTTCGCAACCCAATTGATGCCCTGAATAGCCGCGATCTCAATGCATTCGAAACATTGTTGGATGACTTTGTTCATCTCCTGTGACCGCTTGACCTTCTCACGAGCGACGGTCATGGCAGCCGCTACCTCGTACGAGGAGTGGTACCGCATTGCCTCCTGGATGGACTTAAGGTCAACTTCCAGGCGGGCACGGGTGTTGCGGTAGACCGCCATCGAGTTGAAGATCAAGGGGTGACCCTTCTGAGGAGTGCTGAGCGGGACCACGATTGTTTCCGGTTCGCATACCTCGAGGGAGTTCTCCCAAGTCTCGAGGGCTAGGCGCAGCTTGTATTCGGTAACCACGTCTTGGAGCGCTTCAAAGCTGCGCTTGTGGCTCCAAACTTGCAGGAACAGGGCGTTGATGAGAACACGAGTGGCGAAAGCACTGTAGCGGGTCTTTTCACCCTGGAAAAGGAAGTCGTGGGCCTCGCGCACAGTCAAGGCACTGGAGACGGTGCCACGGCGCCAAGTCTCATCATCAGTCGCGTCCAAGTTCCAGAGAGACTCTGAAGATGGGAGCTCCAAGTCGTCGAACTCATCAAAGCTCATGGCGGGAGTGTGGTTGAATGTGAGCGTCAACATGCCGAAGAAAATGTACACGGCGAAATATGTACGGCGGCACGATTCGTCTTCAATCCACTCCTCGCGCGATGGCTGGATATTCTGGCGAGCTTGAGTCCGCAACTTGAGCTGGTACCGGTTGCCGGCGACCATATTGGCCAGGAGACTCTTAATCGAACAAGTCCACTCGAGGCCCTTCGGGTCACCGCTCCAGCTCTCAAATACCATGTTCAACAACGTAGCCTGCATCAATGACAAGGGGCACTTGCGGGAATCAAAGTTGTCCTTGTGTTGTAGGAATTGGTTGACCAGGACCTTAGAGCCGACATGGAGCATAAAGGCGTGCTCACGCTCGAAAGTGTAAAGCGCACCAATCGACAAAACTGCAAGCAACAAGGGTGCCGGGACCTGGGAAGGCTTAAATGATTCCTGGTGCAGGAACGGCAGGTGAGGATGATACAGATTAAAGTAAGTGGACAAATACCGGTTCAGGGCAATCGTGGAAGGAAGCTGGAAAGTATCGGGAAGCGCACCAAGGCTGTCTGATCCCTGAACCCGGTCCACTACATAGTTGCGTTCCATATCATTAGCGAGCTGAGGAGCCTTGGGAAGGGTCAGCGCTTGACTGGGGCCGGGCGAGCGGCGGTAGTTAACCGGGCTAACGGGGCCAGTCATCGAGGGGTAGGGTGACAGAGCATTCGGGGTAGAGTGTCCAGACATTGGCAGCGAGTTGGACATGAGAACATCGCCGACAGGGCCATGGCGATCGACGAGAGTAGGCATCGAGCCGGGTTCCGCGGGGGAGACAAGCGTGTCCCAAGGCATCTGAGGCAGAGTGGCGTTGCCCGAGAGGTAGGGCTCGAAGGAGCCGCGTCCTGGCGAAAGCGATTCGGAACGCTCGGAGACCTGACCGGTCGCCGCTGCTGCAGCCTTATGTTGGAAATCTGTCATCAACATGGCTGCAGTTTCAAGGTCGACCATACCATCGCTGCTTGCTTCAATCTGCTCCAGCGTCGTCGGGTCAATTGTGACCGACGGCTTAGCCGGGGCAGATGAATTTTTCTGAACCCCTCCTCCACGTCTGCGCCCCTCTGCGACCAGGGGGATTCCGCCGTCCTTGGCGTGCACAGTTCGGTCATGTCGCAGAAGAAGATCGCGACGGACAAAGGTACTGCGGCATTTTAAGCACTTGAAGGGTCTTTCTTTCGTGTCTATATTTTCGAGTCTGTCAGATAGGGAAGCAAAGACGCGTCAGGAAAGTATTCAAATCTTACGTGAGCGCTCATGGCGACTGCGGTGTTCACTTCTGCTGAATGCGCGATTGCAAAATTGGCATTTGTACTTCTTCTCTGGGGCTGATGTTTTCTTAGCCGGTGAGTTGGCTGTCCCAGGTGCGGAAGGAGCCATGTGTGCGGGTTATCTCTTAAAGAAAGAGCGAAAATGACGGTGGTATTGTCCCCTGAGTAAGCTCGCACCGGTTCTGTAGGCGTGTCGACGACAGGAGTTCGTTGGGATGTCTGATCATTCCTTGAGCGGGGGGAAAGGGAAGTAAAGGGTATTGTGTAAGTGGTGTCCAGCCACAAGTAGGAAATATTAAAGAAGCAAACGCTGTTAAAAAAAAAAAGAAGGGCGGGATGATCAACCGCGATTAGATGAGGGAAGGGGAGGGGAAGAAGAGAGGGGAAGGAGGATGAGGAGAATAAGAAGGAATTTGGGAATTCGAAATCGGGTTTTTGGTTTTTTGGGGGGGGGGGGGTGGAGGGGGGGTTGTTTAGAGGGGACTGAGGAAGGGAGGGGGAAAAGGACGTGGGCCTAAGTTGATCGCTTACTTTACGCGTTGAAGTAAAGACCTGGGCAATAGAGAGGGGGCGAAAGCGGGACCCGATCACAGCTAAACTCACTATCTGAAAGACAAACTAAAAGGGAACTACTACCCAGCCACCTTTCCGGCCACGCACTCTTTCCTCCTTTAACCACTCACTTTCTCACTCAACTGTGCCCCCCCTTTTCTCTTTCTTTACGATGCATTTTACCATACGAAATCGACACGTAATTATTCCAAAGCCCTATAGATTTGTCCCGATCGCAAGCCCACATGGTTCAATTTGTCTTTTCCCCCTTGGATATTTATTAAATAAATTAAACACTACAGTGTCGATCATTTAAATGTTTTATTTAGTAACTTCTGCGAGGGTGATTTACAATGTACAGTGGGTTATGTTATTGAATCGTGCCCCTCGCTCAGGGCTTTTATGGATACGGAGGGGAAAATCCTTTGTTTATCGAGTATTGTTAAATTATGTGGCATGTGAGGCGGGTGATTCGAGATCGTGGCACACCTCAAGAGGCTTACGGTGGTGATAGCCCCTTATTCTCTGATTCCCAGTTTTACCCCCTACAGGGGGATTATATCAGTCTCATCTCAGAAACCGAGAGTACATATGTATGTTGTACAATACGTCTTTTCAGATATCAAACCCTCGGAAGTCGTTGATAGATCTCAACCATGGTTCACATCCGTCTACCCCTCAACCCCTCCTCCTAAAGATCGACATTCATACAGATATTCCATCAAGATACATCATCGACTTCTATTTCTATCCTTATAATATCGACAGTGTCGTCACACAACTCCGAATGTATGGTTTTGGGAATGAGACAGGGATACATAAGATCACATATAGAGTTGCATTTGTTTTGCCTTGAATGTGAGCTTGCCGAAGTTGAGAATGGGTAACTTTATTGCGTTGGAAATATATCCCGCTCAATGTGGGAAAGTAGATCGATCCAGTTGGCATCAAATCAAGTTTGTATGCTTGGGTGCCCATCATCCCCGTCTCCTGACAGATCATCCTACGGTACTTTTGTCGCCTCATAAATTGACTGGTCCAGGTTCGGTCTCACCTTTGACCTTCTGACCCAATGATAACTGTCCCCGCCTTGTGGCTGTTCATCTGTTTGACTGTGCCACGCTCGAGGATTATGTGTTCCATCATGCCATGTACGACTGCATTATGCATAGGATCGATGTATGTGCCCTGTATTGGCCTCAAGGTATCACCTGCCGGACTGTATCGGGAAAAGATCTGCTTACAGAGCAGAATGCAAATCGGAGCATTGGATAGGATCACATCTTTTGG